TTTTTTTTTTTTTTTTTTACCTGAGACAGGATATCACTCCATTGCCTAGGCTAGAGTGCAGTGGCTCAATCTCAGCTCACTGCAACCCCACCTCCCTGGTCCAAGCAATTCTCCTGCCTCAGCCTCCTGAGTAGCTGGGATTACAGGCGTGTGCCACCATGCCTGGCTAATTTTTGTGTTTTTAGTAGAGATGTGGTTTCACCATGTTGGCCAGGCTGGTCTTGAACTCCTGACCTCAAGAGATCTGCCTGCCTCAGCCTCCCAAAGTGCTGGGATTAGAGGCGTGAGCCACCGCGCCCAGCCTAGAATATATATTTTTTAAAACTCCCAGAACTCAGCAGTAAGACAGTAAACAACCCAATTGAAAAATGAGCAAAAACTCGAGCAGAAATTTCACCAAATGGGATGTAAAATGGCAAATAAACACATCAAAAGATGCTCAACATCATTATCCATCAGGGAACTACAAATTAAAACCATGATGTGATAACAATACAAACTTCTTAGAATGGCTAAAATTAAAATACTGACAATACCACACTCTAGAGAGGGTAGGGAACAACTAGAACTCTTGTTCACTGCTGGTGAGAATGCGGAGTGATCTAGCCACACTGGAAAACAGTGGGCAGCTTTTTATAGTCAGGCATATACTTAACATATAGCTGAGCAATTTCATTTGTTGGCATTTACCCTAAATAACTGAAAACTTATGTTCCTATAAAAACATGTGTACACTATTTTTAAGCAGCTCTATTACCAAAAACTAGAAGCAACCTAAATGTCCTTTGATTCGTGCACAAACGGTGGTACACCCTTGTGATGGAATACTACTCAGCAATGAAAAGGAAAGACCTACCGATAGACGCAACCACTTGGCTAAATCTGAAAGGCATTACTGTGAGTGGAGAGGCCATGCACATTGTTACCTGCTGAATCAAAGGTTACAGCTGCATGATGCTGCAAAACACACAGCCCCATTTACATGACGTTCTTCCAGAGTTAAAACTATAGTCATAAAGAACACATCAGTGGCTGTCAGAGGCTATGCGTATGGAGCAAAAGTGATTATGAAGGGCGACTACAAAGGAGGGGTCTGGGGTGACAGAACTGTATCCTAACTGTGGTGGTGATAATATTGATCTATACATGATTTTATTTTTATTTTTCTGAGACAGAGTTTCTCTCTCATCACTCAGGCTGGAGTGCAATGGCATGATCTTGGCTCACTGCAACCTCTGCCTCCCAGGCTCAAGCAATTCTCCTGCTTCAGCCTCCTGAGGAGCTGAGATCACAGGCACGCGCCACCACGCCCAGCTAATTTTTGTATTTTTAGTAGAGACATGGTTTCCGTCATGTTGGTCAGGCTGGTCTCAAACTCCTGACCTGAAATGATCCACCCTCCTCAGCCTCCCAAAATGCTGGGATTACAGGTGTGAGTCACCACACCTGGCCTGATCTATACATAATTTTAAATTTATAGACCTGTACACCAAAAGATAAACATCAATTTTACTGCAGAAAAAATTGTTTTAAAATAATAAAATAACAGAGGGTCTCTGGAATAGGGGATAGCTGAGGGCATCTGAGCCATTCCTAAACAGGGAGATTAGGTGATGAAATGCTCACTGCTTAGTGCAAATTCCCAGCTCCTTTCTGTCTGTGGGCATTCAGAATGCAGCAGGCTAGACCTTGATCCCCCAGGCAGGGAACTAGGAAAGCCCTGTAGATACTGACCCAGGGGTTCCCACCAACGCCCCACTCAGATCACCCGATGGTGAAGCTCAAAGCTGAGAAGGCCACCGTGTACCCAAAGCTCACCTTTTAGGTCTGTGCTCTCTCAGCCATGAGCAGTGGGCCAGCGGATTAACAGACAGTGAAGGAAAACATGTGACATGGAAGGTGGAGTGAAACAAACATGAAGATCAACGTAAAGGAATTGGACTACACATGCGATGACAGTGCCCATGAAGCAGGCTAGAAGTGCTGTGACCCGGGCCCCCGAGACCCTCAAGTTCAGTGATTCGCTAGAACTCATAGAACTCAGCATGGGCGCAGCGCACTTGTGTTTGTGATTTATTACAGCAAAAGAGACAAAGCAATCGACAAAGGGGGCAGGCACAAGTTGCCGAAGCCCTCTCCCACGGGATACACACAGGGCACTCGGCTCAACTCCTCCACGATGCAGTGCAACAACGTGTGAAACGCTGTCCACTGGGGAAGCCCACGAGGGACTCAGTGTCTAGGGCTTTTGCTAAGGCCTGGTCACACAGCACCCCCTGCCTAGCGTGTATGAAAATCTCAGCCTCCCATTTGTTTGTGTCCTCTTATTTTGTTGAGCAGTGGTATGTCGTTCTCCTTGAAGAGGTCCTTCACATCCCTTGTAAGTTGGATTCCTAGGTATTTTATTCTCTTTGAAGCAATTGTGAATAGGAGTTCACTCATGATTTGGCTCTCTGTCTGTTATTGGTGTATAGGAATGCTTGTGATTTTTGCATATTGATTTTGTATCCTGCAAACTATCGCAAGGACAGAAAACCAAACACCTCATTTTCT